CGCACACGCTCCCTGCTGCACCAGCTCTGGCTGCTATCGTTCACGCGCGCACTTCCCGCCTTCTCCAGGACGACTTTCGCCCGCGTTCACGCTGCCCGCCCTCTCGCTTCAAGCGCGATCCTCTTGTGGCACAAGGTGGACGGTCAGTCGCAGGATGGGCTGCACATGGGAGAGCACAGCGTGTGGATTATAGGGTTGTACATTCATGAGAGGAGGTGGCAGGCTTTGTACGTCGTTTTCTACCTCACATGTCCGCGTACATGCGTGCGCTTTCACTATCACCGTGCCATCGTGCTCTCAGACCTGTAGCAGATCTACCCCCGCGCCTGCCTCTCCACAACACCACAATCGCGCCCACTGATCAGCTTCAAAGCCCCGTGAGCGCACTGCGCGCGCGGCATTGTCGAGATCGGCTGCTCAGCCGTCGTCGGACGCTCCTCTCGGTACTGCAGTGGACACGAACGATAGAGCGTACCACGGACTACAGGACTCGCAGCCGAATGATAAGCGTACGCACGCTGCCGAAACCGTGCAAGCTACACAGCCAGGAGACAAGTTTTCGCGGCCTACAAACGACCACTCGCGGTGCCCCCAGTCCATCGCTCGACGGTCAGCACGTCTTCGAGGATCACAGCGCACAGCGCTAGTTGGATCTCAGTGGGCGCGCCACCGAACGGAAGCAGCCAAATCTTCCCACCGTACGCCGCATCCCACAGCGAGGTGAGTGTCTCGTTCGTTCTCATTCACTCGGACTGCAACCACCAGGGCATATGGACGGACGCGCCACGGCATAGCGTTGGCTATTCGCACGCCGTAGCCAGCGAGCTCGCCATGCCCGCAGCATCCGTGGACGTCGTGCGCACAGACGCGACCTACCTCTACTCGCATGCGCGCCGTCAGTTCAGCGTGCACGCGAACATCGCGAATCCAAAGCCGAGTCGTCTCCCGGTGCCGCGACGGTTCTTGGAGGTCCAGAAACGACTCATCATGTTGCGCTGCACCCATCGCTCGACAGTTGACATCCTCGTAGAACGGGAGTGTACACTGGGCCAGGCTCCGGAGAATACCATCACGTCGAGGTGAGTGCCCGTTCGTTCACGCGCGTCGCGTATACCAGAAAGTGCGACGGCGCGGCATTCGTGAACATCGCGTGCACGAGCGCGACCTGTATTTCCTCTCGTGCGCGAGTTCGGACTGTGGTGCTAGCGCGGAACAATACGGGCACTGTGATTTCAGACGCTCGCAACCCATAGGGCACACCGCACGTCCGCCGCCGAATCGCGGTGCGCGAACGTCGAGTCAGGACTGTGCCATACTTTGGGCACTGCAGTGGTTCTTCAAGGCCCAGAAAGGGCCTATTGCGGTGTGCTGCGCTGATCGCTCGTACAGTGGGCGCATCGGTGAAAAGATTCGGAAGAGTTCCCAGGGCGAGGCTTCCGGAAGAATCTGAAATTGTGCGTGTACTCTCACGTCGAGGGGGATGAACCGTTCGCGAACGCACGTCTTTTTTTGGCTAGGCAGAGTGATTGATAGGCCTCCTAGACAGAGATGCCCTAGCGTGGTGCAGAAGGCATCCGCATCGTCGAAATAAAACTCGCATGCCGAGTCGAAGTGTGCACACCGTGCCCGCGGTGTGGCATTTGTGGATGCCGTGCGCACGAGCGCAACTTGCATCTGTTCTGCTAGGTGATCCGGGTTGCGACACTAGCGAAGCACGACGGCTACGAAGGGTGCCGGTACTCACAGCAAACTGACGTCTGCCTGCACGGAAATTGTTCGACTCGTGTACATGCGAACTCGTGCATCGCGAATGAGCAGTATTCGGTGCCGCAATGGTTCTTCGAGGTCCAGGAAAGACCTACCACTGTGTGCGCTGATCGCTCCATAGTTGATGCGTCGTTGAGAAGAGCGCGCAGGGCCAGACTCTCGGGAGAATTACCACCCGCACATAGCGTTTCACGTCGAGATGAGTACTCGTTCGTCCGCTCGCATCGTTTATAATAGGGAACGCGACCATTGAGCCCCATAGACGGACACGCCGCTGGATAGTGCGGAGCCCACCCACCTCGGATGCTAGAACACTAACAATCACTTCTCGCGTCAGCCCCGGAGCGTAAATGAGCGCACCGTGCCCGCAGCACGCCATTTATGGACGCTGTGCGTACAGACGCGATCTGCTCCGCTTTTTTAGGTGAGTCCCGGCCGCGACTCTAGCAGTGCATGATGGACACACAAGATTTCGGCGCTCACAGCCATATGACACCTGCACGCGTGCCGCAGGATTCATGTCCGCACAAACGAAGACTGGGTCATCTCCGGACACTGCGATGGTTCTTCGAAGTCCAGAAAGGTCCACCGCGCTGTGCTGCGCTGACCGCTAGACATTTGATGCGTCGTTGAGCAGAAGAGTAAGCTCCCGTGAGATTCTCGATTCTCATGCGGTCTCTCACATCAAGTTGAGTGTGCATTCGGCAGACTTGAAGGTACGCCGATGGTGTTTCCATGCGTTCGAGAGATTTCGGACGTCTGTATGTCGATATATATGTACACTGCTGTATGTTCTTCGACTTGTGAATATGAAGCTCATCTAACGCATTCTACTGTGCAAAGAATGCTTGTCGGCCAATGTGGATCTCAATGGATATTGAACGCATGTACGGCGAGCCGTGACCGCAAGAATCAACAATGAGGCTCTGTGGTCCAGAAGGGAAGCCGTCGAACTTCGTTCGGATGCCACGCATCATTGCTCAGCACGATTCTTCAGCTGACCGGCATCAATATGTTCAAGTCGTACTCCGTTGCAGCAGGACACTGATGCTGTCCGTCGCGGATTCACGGTTGCAATGCTTCACAGTAGCATCCCCTGAATACTGGCATAGCTGCCATGGGCAGATAAACTCTCAACTCACCAAAGCAATTAAGTCGTTATACGGCCAAGATAGAGTTTAGAAAGCATAGCCAATCGAGAAGCCGTCATGACTCACGGAAGACAGTTACTTGGACACCTGACATGAGTCACGATGGCTCTTTACGTGAATGGAACTAGAAGTCCGAAGTGCGAAGGAATAAGATGCGTAGGAGCTCATGAGCAGCTTCTATCTGTTGCTGGCAGAGCGAGATAATTAGACCTGGTTCTGGAGCGTACATACAACTTTACAAGCCCTGCGAGCAAGATCAGACTGGATATCTAGCCATGATCGATGATCTGCCAAAAGATGGAAAGCATCAGTGAACGACAGCATTGCCCTCTGTACTTACGCTGCGGCGGAATCAACCCCATCTCTAACCGCAAGAGGATGAACACCGCGACGTGTAAAACTTACATAAATTCCTGATTCAAATTTCGGCGATCAAGAACAATCAGTAATCAAAGTGGTCGCGAGATTGACTCCGCGGAGCACAAAGAGCATCTAGACGATCTATCGTGATCTGCTGGACGTGACCGGTGGACTCGGCGAGCTAGGCCGGTGTAGCGGTGATGCGGAGATCAGCAAGCCGTCAGCTGAATTGGAAGGTTCGGAGTTGGCAGGGAGAAATGAACTCCGTGCCGGGTTGCACGGCTGGCTGGGACCCACTGCCGGGTGTCACTCGTCAGCTCTAGAATATGTGACACTGCATAATGTACATTGTGCTGGACATCAATGTTCTGAGTTTGAAGTTTTAAGTCAACCTGCCCAGGAATTCACAAAGATCCTCGACCGCAGTACTTGAAGCTCCGTGCAATCCCCTTCTCCTCATTGTGCCACCGTTCCCTGCAATGCCACCGCTCCTTATCATTTCCATTCCCTCAAGGTGGTGAGTTCATTTTTCGCACCTCGTCGGCAAGATGACTTGCACCCATCTAGATATATTAGCAACACTCGATGCTGTCCTCTAGCAAGTTCCCAGTGGCAGATGAGGCTTCGTCATAGCAGAGCGCCACCCAGAACGGGCACAAGATGAGTGTTGATATAAGCTCACCTAGAGATCAGGTTAGCGCGTTGGCACATTAGATTGCAGACAGGTCTATACAGCTCCATGGACACGAACGGGCAAGTTCCTCGATGCAAAAAGTGACTGAAATTCAAGTTTGACGGTGGTGTTTGATATGTCAAGGTAGGCCATGTTCGCAACGAGATTCTCGAGAGCATCAGGATTTATGCCGGCTCGTGCCAGACCCAACTCGTTCACCATGAGTCAAGACGAGGGCCATACACTGCAAGAACTCAATATCAGAAGCAGGGAGATTTCCATGATAAGGTACGTAACGAGTACATACTTCGTGAGTTCTACAGCGGGCTGATATTCTCCCTGTCGACCCTCGAACGTGAGCAGCGTACATCGTTCTTTGCGCGCGCACTCACTCTGTCAAGCATCCGATGACGCTGTTCACGCCCTCCGCATCTATAACGAAGTAGCTTGTCAGTATACCAGCGGCTTCCTCCTCATGCATGCTGCCATCCTCCACTCGCCTTCTAGCCAAGGACCGAACAACATGACCAGCGGGACAGACCCATGTGGATGAAGATTTGCGAAACCATGCCAACCCCCCATATGATAGTGCTGCAAATTCGCGAGTGTGCAGCTCATGGAGCCCCTCACCTCCCCGTGTCCCACGCGGTATGCAGAGATCACGATGACATGAAGCACGGCCAGCAAATGAAAGCACGACAATGATGCACGAATTGGGGGTCGGAGCTGCACCACCACACCTACACCTCACTAGGACGGTCTTGGGCGCTGATCAAGACGAACGCGATGGACCCATCAGCTTACCACCAATCCATCGCTGATCATCTGAAGCAGATCTCGTCAGATGCATTCTGAGACTGTCACTTGTGCCTTCGCACCTGGATCAAGGAGGCTCGCTCGTCGTCCACAATGCATAACACCATCCGCAGTTTGTCCTCAGTCACGAACCTGTCCACCCCATCAGTGCGACGGACTCACCATCTCACGAGGCCTCACCCATAGCAGGTCTGCTGAGTGCAGCTCACACTGCTACTGCCGTCACTGCTCACGACTGGCTGAATCGTCTTGGGCTATCTTTGTACCCGGCCATGGCTCGTCGTGTCATCCTTTCCAGCACCTGGCACTTCCTCGAGCCTGGGCGACGCATGCCCACGAAACATTGTACGATCTTGTCAAGATCGTAGCCAACTGTCGTAGCGTTCCCTCGTTCGTGAACCTGACGGCATGGTTTGCTCAACAATCAAGATATCCAGCAAGGCTCATCGGGCCCGGCTTGTGCCCCACGCGAATGAGCGACAGGCTGCCGGCTGCTTAAATGGTGTCAGCTCATCCGCTGCAGCATCGTGTGACCGCACCTCGTCGTGCAATGGTCCCTATAGCCCGACGGAACCTCTCAGCGTCATTCGTGGGACCAAAGTATCAGACAACGACCCCTTGCCATGCGACTGGTGCTGATATCAAATGAAGCTTACCACTATGACATCAAGTTTGCGCGATTCTTGCCAGCCATGCCAGATAACGGTCGCGCGGAGTCATTGCATGCGTTGAAGCGGTCGCACGTCCTCCAAATCTGGCAACCTCAGCATACTCCCACGATGTCGACTGAACGCAGGCCATGGCGGAGCCCTCCTTGCTTAATGTGGATAGTTGCAGAGCTCGTGGGCGCGCATGCGCCCATAACGTCGATAGGTACGCCGATCTTTCCTTCCGGGTCTTCATTCTATTGATCTCACCCGATTCAGTCAGAAAGCGTCGATCGAGAGCAGACTGGAGGAGATGCTTGCCCTGCCTGACAGGCGCGAGGTCAACCAGCATGGCGCGTCCTTTGCGCTGGGTTGGCGAGTGTTCGTCTCCATTGCGGCGAGCTGGTTGTGCACACAAAAGGATGCTATCATATGGGGCCAGGATGGTGTTCAGATAGGCACAGAGTGGGCTAGGACGGGCGGGCGGTGATTGGGATCACGTTGGATGAAGGGAATGGAAGAGACGATGAGAACGAGCTTCGGAATCGGCGAAAATGCTGTATACTGAGCGGGAAAAGGTGAGTGTTGGATAGACTTCTGTGCTGTAGAATATGTAAGTCATGTTAGTAGTGTGTTAGAGAGAAGACGAAATGGAAATGGATGGACTTAGAGGAACTGGCCTTGTGTACTTCAAAACAACTAGTGCGAGTCCCTCTGTGTATGAACTACACTTCAACGTTATCTCTGCCGTGTACCAGCCCCATCTCGAACATTATCTGCGGTCGTCCAAGCTTCCTATAAAAGAAATATATTCACACGCTCTGTACGTACATGAGCACGGTCTGTCCGTCTGCACGACTGCGAGCACGATGCGTGCGCGGAGCACTCACCACTCCCATGCCCTCCTCACTCTTTCCTGCACACGACACGGAGTCTCACCGTCACCGAAGGAAGGGGCACTCACCTGCAAGTCAACCTACAGCCTCCTACAGATCCTGGCTGGCTCACTGCACTGACCCATATGATCGTTGCACGTACCTTTGTCCTGGAGGTAAACTCCTGTGAGCGAGAAGAATGCTCTATACCCTGTTCCTCGCATCAT